AGCGATGCGGTCCAGCTGGGGATCCCGGACCTGGGTCACATTGCCTCGGGACACATTGCCCTCCATGCCGCGGGTGGCGCGCCGGACCTTCTGACTGAGATCCATGATCTGCTTACTGCCGTAGTCCTGCGAGGCGAAGAGCGGGTTCTGACTGAGGGTGGCGACCCAGTACTTATTCCACAGCAGGTCGAGGATCTGGGCATCGAGGGTACTCTTGAAGATCTCGACCTCGAGCGAGTAGTAATGGGAGGCATGGGCGCCGAAATCCTCGGCCTTACTCAACGGCACCGACTGATACCCCGCCCCACCACCATTAGGAGCTCCATCCTCCCCATCCTCCTCCCCGCCACCCAATTGCTGCTCCCCGCCCTTCGGCGGCACATAATCCTTGGGAAACGTCCGAAACGCCCCAATATCGACCTTCCCGGCTGAGATCGTGCGCTCGGGATCAATCACCACCGCCACAAAGGGCCCCCCCAGCTGCTGCATATCCTGCGTCGTGACATCGATCCCGGACAGCCAGCACCCGTACCCCGGGTGGCTGTGGTACCACCCCACGGCGTTCTCCATGCGGCCCGCGTCCCGGCACGACTGCAGGTACGACACCATGTACTCGTTCGCCTCCTCCTGCGCGTTCACCCGCGTCTCCGTGCCCTCCACCGGCAGCCGGTACGCGTCCGTCACCACGAAGGTTTCGGGCAGGATGTACCCCTGCATCAGGCCCATGACCTCGAGCGAGCCGCCGGACCGCGCGTGCATGACCATTTTTAGGAGGGCGAGGGCCGAGATCCGGACCGTTTTGAAGTAGTGTGGGTCTTTGGACCAGGGGCGTTGCGCGGAGAGCGTCCGGTGCGTTTCTTCCGAGTAGGCGTAGAGTGTGTCGCGGTGCGGGTCGATTAGGGTGGTTGCGTTTTCGAGGTCTTTTTTTTCGGGAGGGGGGTGTTAGTTTGGGTTGATGATGGTGAGTTTGTAATAGGTTTGTGGGATATGGGTTCTGGGGTAGAGGGGGGAGTGGTCTGCGGAGATACTAACCCCAGGACCGCAGAGCTGCTTGTTCCATGGTGGGCTGTGCTTGGTTGGTGATGTGAGATTAGAGAAGGAAGGTCGGATTGGAAGGTAAGGATTGCCTAGGATGTTCAATTCTGGGAGGATGATGCTGATGGGGACATGCGATAAGATGAGGGGAAAGAGGGGGTTGTTATCGATTTGGATGAAGTTGCAAGTGAGTTAGTTTACTTATCGGTGACAGCATTGCGGAATGCGGAGAGAGAGAGAGAAAGAAAGGCGGTGACTATCGTCCGGCAGGTTGCCGGCAGATTCGGGCGGTCAATAGCTGATTCAGCGGTTGCTGCAGAAACGGGGCGGGAACGTCAAACAAGGCGGCGAAGGGCAATCGAAGCTGAGCGGGCGGGATTCCCCAGGCGGGAAGGGGAAGGAAGGCCAGCCAGCAGTCAGTCAGTCCGGGCAGTCCTCGATTATTGTTGTCCCCCCTCGATCTATCGATCTCTCCATCTACATCCACATCCACACCATACACCCCCCCCCCCTCTCCCCCCAGCCACCCTTGCATCTGCTTGCAGCCGTGGACTCGTTAATGAAATATACGGGTTGTGTCTGGTTCTTGCAGATGCCATTCCACTTTCTGTGATCCCTTCTTTCCTTTCCTTTCCTTTCTTTTCTCTGCTGCCCTGTCCGCCTTGCAGACTCTGTTGCGGTCGGTCTTCCGCGGCAAATCCTGACAGGTGAAGGCGCATTGTCGCCGCAGATCTTATATGACGGTGGATCGCGAGTTCGCTCCAAGGCGATCGGCTCCGTCAAGTGGGTTGCGCGTAAAATCGCAATCGCTCTAAAGCAAACTTCATACCCGGCGCTTGCACATCACCCGATCCACCTGCGCTTGGGTGGACCATCTCATTCGCAATGGCCGTCGATACCAGCTACCTGACCACCCAGGTCAACACCATCGTGTCGGAACTACATGGTATTTACGATGACATCGGTGTTCCGAGCCATGAGCGCGACGCGCGTGAGGCAGAGGTTCGTTGGCCCCCATCCGCATCACACCCCCCCTGCCTACCTACCGTGACCGTTTGCGACTGACATGACCGAACCCCCTTCCAGCTCTTCAGTGCTTTGTCCGAAACGCTGAACAACCACCTCAAACTCGTGGACACGTAAGTAACACACACACACACTGCGCGATGGAAGGAAATCGATTTCAATCCACCCTGTTGTTTATGCCAAGAACGGGCGGCTAAATCTTCCTACTACAAATCAGTGAGAAGAAAGAGATGGAGGAAGAGGCGCAGCGACTCATCACCGCTATTCAACATATGGAACACTCCCTGGTGGATGAGAAGGCCAATGGACAGTATCAGCTCGATCACAATGCCTTGCGCGTCAGCTACCCGCTCAACCGTTGTTTGGCTTTCCTGCGCGAGGAGCACGGCGCGTTGAGCAAATTACACAAGGAGCGTTTCGAGCAAGTGAGAAGTAAGTGCACCGTCGATGTTTGTTCTGCGCGCAGAAGTGGGAATCTGTCGGACTGACTGGTGCAAAAACAAAGAATTGGTGGAGGCCCTCGAATCCTACGCGTCGCATCTCGAAGCAACATTCGTCAGCATCGAATTGCCGCCGACAGCACCGGGAACCACGATTTCGCCGAGCTTCGATCTTTCCCCGTCCTATGTCACCGCTCTGGACGATGAGTTCACAAGAGTCTACGAAGAATATCATCGACGCTTGGAGTTCGTCAAGACCACCTGCGAGGAGATAATTAAACTGTGGGCTGAGCTTGGCACCCCCCAAGTGCAGACCGACACGAACATCGTCAAATATTACCGGGAGGCGCCTGAGCAGCTGGGTCTCCACGAGTCAGATTTGAACAATCTGAGGGCAAAACGCGAGAAGCTGCTGGAGGAGAAGAGAGGCCGGGAGCGCAAGCTAAAGGACCTGCGGACCGCGGTGGAAGCACTCTGGGAACGATTCGGCATTGAGGAGGCTGATCGAAAGGAGTTCCTCGCTGCGAACCGTGGCTGTGGCCTTCGCACTATCAACGAGTTTGAGGAAGAATTGGGTCGTCTCAACGAACTCAAGAGCCAGAACCTGCACCTCTTCGTTGAGGATGCCCGCGTCCGGTTGCAGGAGCTATGGGATGCGCTATACTTCTCGGAAGAGGAGATGATCGATTTCACTCCGGCCTTTTCCGACGTGTTCAGTGATGCTCTCCTTGAGGCTCATGAAGGCGAAATCGCACGGCTCGAGACCCTGAAGGCACAGCGTGCGCCAGCTTTGGCACTCATTGACAAGCACCGCAGCCTCCTAGCGGAACGAGAGGCTTTGGCCATTTCTAGTCAAGATGCTTCCCGTCTTATGGCGCGTGGCGCAAAGGGAGAGAGACGCGATCCAGGCAAGCTATTGAGAGAAGAGAAGATGAGAAAGCGCATCGCCAAAGAATTGCCGAAGGTTGAGGTTGATCTCCGGAAAGAGCTGGAGAAGTGGGAAGAAGATTACGGCCGGCCGTTTCTCATCCACGGAGAGAGATATCTGGACGAGCTCACCCCAGTTGTTGCCAAACCTCCTCCACGATCCAAGACTCCCTCTGCTGCCCCGGCTAGTGCTACCAAGCGGAGCACTGGCCAGATGCAGCCACCATCGCGCCCTGCGAGCGTGATGAGAGGGGCCCCACCTCCACGCTCCACAAGCAAGACCCCCACTGGAAACCGTCCTCCAACAAAGTACAACACCATTGGCCCTTCGCGAGCGCCTTCCAGAGCGGGTAACAAGTCTCCCTCCAAGATCCCAGCCCGAGTTCCACTTGGGAACATGCCTCTTGGAAACAACTCCCCCAATCGCCGCGCAGTTCCTGGGGCCTATTCCTCGAGCACAATCAACGGCAAGATCCCAGCACCTCGTCCGCCTCCACCCAGAATGCGGGCCTTGACTGGTGGTGAGTCGCGGGAGGAGCGCATGTCCTATCTCTTCGACCCTCCACGGAGCGCTAGCGCGTTGTCGAATACCTTTGTGCGGCCGGTCAGCCCTGAAGACGTATACGATGACCGCAACCAGCGTTCCTTTGTCAGCTCGTCGGCCTTCTCTCAGCGGTCCACTGGATTCTCTCAATCATCGCACTCATCGGCCTCGTCGTTATCCTCCTCCATGCAAGGGTTCCCTAAACCCAATCCCTATCTGCAGCACGCAGCCCCGCCCCCCGCTCCAGCCCCCCGACAAGTGTCTAGTACGTCGACCGTCATCACGGCAACTACCGGATCGGAGAACTGGGAAACCTTTGACTCTGGTGATGAGTCGGAAGCCGATGCTAGCGATGTATATTACGCTAAACTGCGCGCGGCTCACGGGAAACGCCTGTTGGCCCCCGAGGAAACTCCCGTTCTCTCGCTAGGAGGGAAGAAAGCCAAAGGCATTCGAAGTGTCAGCCCTGACGAACCTGCTGACATCCAGCATAGACAGATGATGCATGCCGGTGGAAGCGACAATGAGTGGACGGATGATATGGAGCCATACTGAAACATTTAAGGGTCCATCGCTTGCTCCACAGACTCGACACCCATATTCTGAGCCTAGAACACGGTAATCAGGTTCTTCTGATATTTACATGTTCCTCCTGCCGATCCACCCCGGCAGTCTCTCGCTTGAGCTTCCATGCCCATTTTCAAGGCAACGTAATAAAGTGCTGCTCAATGCCCCTAATCTTCTTTGTTGAAATTTTTCGAGATTATACCACGCCGTTATGCTGTTGTTGCGTTCTGTCTGTTTCAGCCTTTGACCTTGTTGTGGTGTCCAGACCATCTGCGATGCCTATCGACCGACCCATTTCACTGCGTGATCGAGGTCCCAGCCCAATACAATCCACTTACTAAACAACGAACGACACGACTTGGATGCCGTTACGAGTTGCACCCCTGCGTGTTGCACTCCTCAAAAAGCTCTCTATCATATTTGGAGACAACCATTCGACTTCTTGTACTATGGTCATGTTACCTTCTGTTTGAACACTGCCGCAACCACCTTCTCTTACAGGACATAGTCGATATTGGGGTGTCTTTCCTTTGTGAAACTACGTAGCATCCCAGTAACTTCCTCATGATGACCACTGCCAATGTCTATGGAGGGCTTTTGCTTGTTTGTTTTACACATGCGAGCTCTGTCCCTCTCTCTTCTATCTGTTTTCTATCTTCTTGGTGTGGCTGTCTTGCTTTGTATGTGGTCTTTTCGTGTACACGTCGCCTGGACATGCAACCCGCTTTTTTCTCCTTTGTGTCGTTTCCGATTTGGTTTTAATATCAGCCATGCGCCACTGGTTTAATTAGCTTCTTGAGTTTCTGAGTTGATACATTCATACTTGATTTTATCTAAGTCCACGGCAGAAAAGTAATTATTCCCGCGGGGGAGTTTCTACCTTAGTGAAGCTACTGCGGATCCTGACTATCACGACTTTGCAGGGCAATCGCAATCGATTTGTGATGATAGCGATGATCCAGAGTACCTTGCATTCGGACTAGCTGTCCCTATTTATCGAGATAACTGGAGGACGCACTCCTTGCCCACCATCATCCCAAACCCGTTGCGAATAGTCATCGGTGAGCACAACCGTGAAAAGACGCTTCTCGAGATATGTCAACAGGATGCTGCGAGTCCGGTCTTATATACTGTAACAGGTAGATCTAGTGCTCGATCATTCCAAATGATAGCTGAGTTATCGTGGAAGGTGGCTTTGCCGGGGGAGTGGAGGGCTTGTCATATGGGAATGGATCCAGGATATTAAACGTTGGGGTTGGCTTTTTCTAATTTGATAAGATGATGAAAGATTGCTTGGAGAGAGAGAGGGGTTGGGAAAAGAGTGGAGAGGAGATGGTTAGCTCTTCCTCTATGTGTACATATCAAGAATCTTACATTCCTTCCCCAATGAATCAGGATACACGTTCACTGATATTGTATGCATCATATGGAATGAGTTCTTACAGGGACACAGACACATTCACCCGAAAGCCAGAGTTACCAGTGACTGTGCTTGGTAGGCGAAGCGCGGAGCTTCACGATTCGAAACGGCTGTAGGACTTGCATCGAGATGTTGGTGGATAGATCAGGGATTCTTTCTAGCTGGTCTCTAGAACTATGTGTGCATACTTGTGGTGGCTCATGTTGTGGGGCAGCCCCCGGGGGATCCACACGATCCTCCCCGCGATAACTACAACTCAGCTCCGATTCTCGGTCTCGGTTTCGGGTCTTCTTGGAGGGAGGCTGAGGGGAGGGCGTGGATGCATGACGTGAGCGATGAGACCGCAAAAGTGCGGATAGTTTACATCTACATACAGCGACACACACACATACACAGACACATACACATACACATACACATACATCCCCTGACCGCGTGGAACCCAGTCTTTGACGAGGGAGGGTATCTAGATACTGTACTGTTCAGTCCCATGGCTCATCTCCTATCCCTTTCGCGCAGTCACCCTAAGCATACCAAGAAATTCGAGAATCACGAACTCTTGGGCGCAAGCGACCCCATCCATGAACTATCCTTCGACTCGGCCGCCGCCGCCGCCGCCGCCGACTCCTGCGGCCCCTTATACCGCTTCACCCCCCGATTCGGTACCAACTCCAGCGTCAGGTCCTTGGCATCCTGCAACCGCCGCACCGTCTCCTCCCGTCCCAGCACGGCCATCGTCTCCGGGATCCCGGGGCCCGGGGCCCCGCCGGACAGCGCCCACCGCAGGTAGTGGTACAGTTCCTTCTTGAAGAACTTGTCCGCGGCTTTGCGGGCGGCCTCGCTTTCCGAGGAATGCTGCTGTTGCTGCCCTTCTGAGACAATGGCAGAGGACCCATCGTAGGCGGCGATGTTGGCGCGGTGGGTGTCGAGCGTCCAGTGGCTGGGGGGCACAAGAGTAAAAGCCGTGGCGGCCGTGTGGAGGGCGGAGAGCGGGATGTTCGCGGCGGTGGGCGGGTGGGTCGCGGACGGGGAGGAAGCGGGCGCGTAAGACGGGCGGGTCAGGGTCGCGGCGGGTTGGAAGAAGGTGGCGTTGCGCGCGAGGAAGTCCTCCGGTTTCGTGTAGGATTTGGCGTCCGCTTGGAGGAGCGGGCTGACGTAGGATTCGAGGGAGCGGGTTTGGAGGATTGGAGCGCTGTGGTTTGTAAGCTTGATACTTGGTGGAGCGGATTTCTTTCTTGGAGGTGAGAGGCAAGACGTACAGTTGCTCTGGAGTGTAGGTGGCTTTGACGGCCGTGATCAGTTTCTGCACCATCTCTTGGAATTCTGCGCTCTCCGGGGCGGAGGCGAAGCGCTGCGCGTGCGCTTTTTGGAGGAACCAGAGCTTTTCGAAGGCGACGACGGTGTTGCCGCGGGTGATTTTGAGGTTGAACTGGTTGGAGGGGTTGAGGGTTAGCTTGATGCGCTGCGTGTTGGTGGGAGTTTAGAAGGGGACATACGAGCTGTTCTAGTTCTTCAAGATTGAAGATATCCGACTTTTGAGCGTGGGACCACCCCAGCAGGGCGGCGAAGTTCACGAGCGTAGCGGCGAAGACGCTTTGCGTGTCTTTGAAGAAGCTGAGATCGATGTCCGCATTGCGCTTGCTGAGCTTCTGGCCGGATCGGTCCACGAGGAGAGGTACATGTCCAAAGTGAGGTGGTGTCCATTGGAAGGCGTTGTAGAGGGCAACGTGCATCGGGGTCGATGCCATCCATTCCTTGAAGTCTCGTGATTAGACCCTGTCCCGAGTTGGGGTGCGAGCCGCGTAGCTTACCGTGCCACGGATGACATGCGTGATCTTCATGAGGTGATCGTCCACCACGTTTGCCAAGTGATATGTCGGGTGCCCATCCGACTTGAGCAGGATAGGATCGTCGTACACCCGCTCAATGAGGTCCAGCTTGTTGGTCGGCCGGTTCTGTCCCGTCTTGCCGTAGACCAAGTCCTGAAACATGGGGTATCCCTCCACCTTCAGCCGAATAACATGCGCCTCGCCCTTGGATGCCTTGTCCGCGGACTCTTCGGCGGAGATCTCGGCGCATTTCCGGTCGTATCCCGGCGCAAGTCCTGCTTCGCTGCGATGCCGTGCGTGCGCGTCCAGACGTTCTGCGGAGCAGAAGCAGCGATATGCGTGGCCGTTGTCAATCAACTCGTGGGCGTGCTTGCGATAGGTTTCAGTTCGTTCAGACTACGACGGACCAAAAGTGTTAGCTTCCACTCTAGAAAGACACATAAACATGCGGACTCACCTGTCTGTAAGGGCCGTATGGACCCCCAACAATCGGACCTATTACGACCCGTCTGCTGTCAGTATGCATCGCATGACCGCGCGACATACAATAAACAAGTGCTGACCTTCGTCCCAGTGTAATCCCGCCCAGCGAAGATCATCGTAAAGCCTCTGCTCGGCCCCCGGAATCGTACGTTTCTATATGACATCCACCGTTCAGCCCACAGGTCTCACGATTGCCGAATGATTTGAGCCTCGAACCTGGTCGGTATCTTCAATGCGAAGCAAGAATTGGCCGCCGGTGCGCTTGGCCAATAAGTAGTTGAATAATGCCGTTCGCAGGGATCCCAAGTGAAGGTAGCCGGTGGGCGACGGCGCGAAACGAGTTCTAGCAGAGCCGTCGGGGAGATTGGTCTTTTTGTTGTTGCCCATGCGGAGTTTGGAGCTGGGCGCGGCGACGGAGGAGTAACCGGCTCGACATTGCGTGCAGATCCATGTCTGTCGGGCCCGGAGGCTGGAGATCGGTCGTCGCATCATCATGGCCAAGAGCTGTCCAAATGCCCCACGATCACAGAGGGGCATGCAATGAGCGAACACGGCAATAGGGAAAGATGTGGGGGGGGGGGGGGGAGATGCGAATCAGTTAGCAAAGCAAGAAGCTCGGCGGAGGTGAAATTAAATCCGACCGCAAAAAAGGCGGACGCGGAAATGCCGGACATGTGATTGGCCTCATCCAGCGGCAATAAATTATTATCACAAGCTTTACTTTTGCCGTTGTTTTTCCCTTTCGCTTGCGCAGTCTTATCCCCAGCGACAAGACCCTCTTCCCACTGGCTTGTCTTTTCTTGCTTGGAGTCGTCGTTGATCTGTTCTCTGCTTGAATTTAATTTTCTCATTTTTATTCAGCTGATACCCCAGTCTTTGTGTTTCTGCTTTGTTCGTCACTCGGATTCTTACCCGTCACCGCCTGCCAGTATGCTCTCCAGGAAATTTTCAACAATCTGGAATCGCTATGCTAACATTCTGCAGTGTCTTCTAAGGTCGAAATCGATCTCTATGGTATAGTGCCGAAGCTCCTCGAGATATGACGGGAAAATATCAGCCAGCGACTAATCTTTCCGTGCTTTACAGAGGTCCTCGAAATTTCCAGCTCCGCAAGCAAAGAAGAAATCCGCAAGGCGTACCGCAAGGTGAGACAAGATCACAAACATCAGTGTGCAGAACTAGCTCTGACAAGTGTTTCGCCACGACTTAGGCCGCGCTCGCCAACCACCCGGACAAGGTTCCCGAAGCCGAGCGAGAAGCCGCCGAGGTCCGATTCAAGGCCGTCCAGGAGGCCTACGATATCCTCTACGATGAAGACAAGCGCCACCTCTACGACACCCACGGCATGAGTGCGTTCAACGGCTCCGGTGAGCCGGGGATGGGGCCCGGCGGCCCGGATCTCGATGACATCCTTGCGCAGATGTTCGGTGGCATGGGTGGTATGGGTGGCATGGGCGGCATGCCTGGCGGACCTCAGGCGCGCAAGCCCCGCCGGAGTCCGAATGAGGAGCAGAAGTATGAAGTCAGCTTGGAGGATCTCTACAAGGGCAAGACGGTCAAGTTCTCGAGCACCAAGAACGTCATCTGTTCCTTGTGTCGGGGCAAGGGCGGCAAGGAGCGGGCTACGGCTAAGAAGTGCGCCACTTGCGACGGACACGGTATGCATACCCTCTGTGTTCCAGCAAGATTATTCCCCGCTAATCGCTGTGTGCTGTAGGTGTCAAGCAGATCCTGCGACCCATGGGCCAATTCCTTTCTCCTACCATGGTGACCTGCTCTACGTGTAAGGGACAGGGCGAGTTCTTTAGCGACAAGGACAAGTGCAAGAAGTGCAAGGGCCAGAAGACGACCGAAGCAAAGAAGTTGTTGGAGATCTACATCCCTCGCGGGGCGAGGTAAGCGCGCGTGTCTAGACTACTCGGGAACGATGGCTAATGTTTACGTGCAGGGAGGGAGATAAGATCATCCTGGAGGGTGAGGCTGATGAGGTACCGGGTCAAGAACCCGGAGATATCATCTTTCACTTGGTTGAGGAGGAGCACCCGGTTTTCAAGAGAGCTGGTCCCGATCTGACAGCGGAGATCGATGTCACGTTGGCCGAGGCCCTGACCGGTTTCTCCCGCGTGGTGATCAAGCATCTTGATGGCCGTGGAATCGAGCTCAAGCACCCCAAGGTTCCTGGACAAGTGCTTTCCCCCAACCAGGTCCTGAAGGTTCCTGGCGAAGGAATGCCGATCAAGCGCGGCGATGCCCGTGGTGATCTGTACCTGATCGTTAACATCAAATTCCCCGATGAGACGTGGAAGCCTACGCCGGCGGTTCTGGAGCAACTCAGAGAGATGCTGCCCAAGCCAGATGCCCCCATCCCCGTCGATACTGTGGATGAGGTCGAGTACGATCCCAAGGGAAACATCGAGGACTTCGGAGCTCATGACCCCGAGGGCGGATCGGCCTGGGAGGACGACGATGAGGAGGGCGAGGCTGCGCAATGCACGACTCAGTAGTGGCCGGCTTTTACGTTCTTTGTTTTCTATTGTTATTCTTGCGTTTTTGTTGGACCTCGATACCTATTTTGTTGGGTCCATCTCATGGTGATAGACTTGCTGGTTATGTTAGATCCAGCTCCACTCTGGCATCATGGGCGTTACAGGATTGACCTCCCATGAACGGATAAATGAAAAAGAAAAACTTGATGATTTCGACTAAATAAGACGTGTTCTTTCTTCGGAAAAAGTGAGATCTGGCGGTGCGTCATAGTCAGTGTGGGTAGCCCTTCTCTCCGCGGGGAAAGCGTGGGATGTCATTTAGTCACTCACGAGTAGTTGAACGTCCTTCAGCGCAACTGTCTCACTCTCTCGTCCGAGACTAGACCACGTTCTGTGCATGTAGAACGTCCCTTCCCCCACGGCACGGGCACTGATTAACAAAGAACCTGAAGGGGAGCAGCAACAGAGCCTTTCAGTCTCACCAGTCATCACAGCTGAGAGCGTGGAAGAGCAGGGGAGGAAGTAACCCCCACTCTCTGATCCGCCCAGAATCCGGGATAGCGTGGGGTAAAAAAAAAGAAGGGAAAATCAATCAATGAAAGAATGATGGAAAACCAAACCCGGAACCGAAAGCCACGCGATCGGGTTTCCAGGTTTCAGTTTCCAGCTTGCCTGCAGTTCCCCAAAGTCCACTTCTTCTTTTCTGGTTCTCTCATCTTCTTGTCTGTCTGGCATTGGACTGATCAATCAATAAGTTATTTAAAAGGTAGCCATTCCCCGTCCCGGGTACAACCCCGGACAATTTTCCTTTTGTTCTGCTTTCCGAAAAGGTCAGCCGATTTTCCACCCCCGCACCCGGGTCTTGCTTATCTACTGTACTGTACAACTGTAACCTTCTGTCGTCTACGACAACTCGGAGATTCTGGCCCGAGGGCATTCGGCACTGGCAATTCGGGGTCTCTCCGATTTTGAGTCACGAGTGAGTCTTGGCGGGTTTTTGCTGGATATACCGTGCCTATATCTATATAATCGAGACGCGGACGTACAGGAGGACTTACTGATCGGCAGAAATTCTCGTCTACTAAACTCATACGTCTGTCGCATTCCACACCCCTGAAAAATGCCGTGCGGGTCCCAAGCGGCCTGCGAAGGCTGCTCCTGCAGCGCCAGCAATGGCACCCCCGCACCCGTCAACATTGAGGACTGCGAGTCCGAGCTGCTGGCGCTGCGCAAGCGCACCATGGAGCTGGAGAAGACGTTAGCGACGATGACCAAGAGTGGTGGTGCGGCCGGCCCCAAGCGGGGTCGGAGACTGCGCTCCGCGGACTGGTTCCGCTGCGAAGAGGACCCGGGCATGATGGCCCTGTACATCGAGCGCTACCTCAACTACGGGATGACTCGCGAAGAGTTGATGTCCGGCAAGCCCATCATTGGCATTGCGCAGACGGGCTCGGACTTGGCCCCGTGCAATCGGCACCACCTGGAACTCGCGAAGCGGGTTCGGGAGGGGATCAGATCGGCGGGGGGCATTGCGTTTGAGTTTCCCACCCACCCCATCCAGGAGACGAGCCGGCGCCCCACGGCGTGTATTGATCGCAATTTGTCGTATCTGAGCCTCGTCGAGGTCCTGCATGGGTATTTCTTGGATGGGGTGGTGATGCTCACCGGCTGTGACAAGACGACCCCGGCTTGTTTGATGGCGGCTGCTACTGTGGTATGTTCACTTCCGTGAGAAAGATCTGGCATTGTGCTGACGCTGCTGAAGAATATCCCCGCCATCTGTATGAACGTCGGCCCCATGCTCAATGGGTATGTCAAGAACGAGCTGGCGGGTTCGGGCATGGTGGTCTGGAAGGGCAGGGAGAAGTATGCCGCCGGGGAGATCAACACGGAACAATTTGTGGACTATATTTCTCGAGGGTATGTGGTAGCACTCCGTGGTTATGACTCTTCTCACCGTATGAGCAACAGAACACCGTCTGCGGGACACTGCAACACAATGGGCACGGCGTCGACGATGAACGCCCTGGCTGAAGCCTTGGGTATGGCGCTACCTGGCTCAGCCGCCATCCCTGCTCCTTATCGCGAGCGGAGCCAATGCGCATATGAGACTGGCGTCCGAATAGTAGAGATGGTCCATTCCGATCGCAAACCGAGCGACATCATGACGCGGGAAGCCTTTGAAAATGTGATAGCGGTGAACACAGCCATTGGGGGTAGCACCAATGCTCCCATCCACATCAACGCCATTGCGAAACACATAGGAGTTGACCTGTCGCTCGATGACTGGGATCGTCTGGGGTTCCATATCCCCCTCCTCCTGAACATGCAACCTGCGGGGGAGCTGCTGGGCGAAGAATATTACCGTGCAGGCGGACTGCCTGCGATCATGGCCGAACTGCTGGACGCAGGGAAGCTGAACGCAGGAGCCATCACATGCAATGGTCATACAGTAGCGGAGAATGTGCGGGGGAAACACACCTGGGACCGTCGGACGATCCGGGCGTATGACGAACCGATTCTTCAAGATGCCGGGTTTCTCCACCTGCAGGGTACGCTGTTCGAGTCGGCCATCATGAAGACCTGTGTGATATCGGAACAATTCAGGAAGAGCTTTCTGGAGAACCCCGCCGACCCCAATGCTTTCGAGGGGGCGGTAGTGGTTTTCGACGGGCCCGAAGACTACCACCATCGGCTGGAAGACCCTGCAACCCCCATCACCGACAAGAGTATCTTGGTGATGCGCGGGGCTGGACCGCTCGGTTACCCCGGTGCAGCAGAGGTGGTCAACATGCATCCTCCGGGGAAACTTTTGCGACAAGGAGTCAAATCGCTCCCTTGCATTGGCGATGGCCGACAATCGGGTACCTCCGGATCTCCGTCGATTCTGAACGCGAGCCCCGAGGCAGCTGCAGGGGGGAATCTGGCCATCCTGAAGGATGGCGATCGGCTGCGTGTTGACCTCAACAAACGCCGGGTAGATATTCTCGTTTCAGCGGAGGAACTGCAAAGACGTCGGGATGAACTCGAGGCCAAAGGAGGTTACGGGGTACCGGAAAGTCAGACTCCATGGCAAGAGTTGTTCCGCAAAGAGACGGGGCAGCTGGACGAAGGGATGGTTCTTCGCGGAGCAGTCAAGTTCCAACGGTTGGCCCAACGTTATGGGGCACCGAGACATAACCACTGATGAAATGACGCCAGAACTGAAAGTGAAATGATTAATCTCGCCAGATGATGGTGATTCTTGGTCTAGTCCTGCTTGTATGGAATGTGCGCACTGGCTTTGGGTCAAGTGATGTAGACTCCAGTCTTGGCCAGTAATTCCTCTCTTGGAGTATGGTGCAGAGAATGGGGAAGTGTAGGCAGTTGCATATGCAGCCTTAAAGAAAATGGATAGGGCTGACTGGCTGGCTGTGTAAATGGAAGGGACTGGAACCTCGAATCGATCACTCAGCTTGATTTTTCAGGCCCGAAGCCAGGAAAATAATTATAGTAAGGAGCCTCCTTACTTGCTTCCTGCATCCAACGTGGGATTCACATTTTCAAACCTCACACAGCCCCTCCTTCAATAATCCTCCTTCCTTTTCCTTCAATCCTCGTGTCAGGGTCCGAGGCTGATGACAGCATCGCATGTTCTAATCTGTGCGACCTGCACCTCTCGGCGAAAGAGCCTCTTGTCTCTCGTCCCCTGGGTCTCTCATTCGACTCGCCCGCATAATCCACCGACAGACACCCACCACAGCCCACAGCCCACAGTCCCACAAACTAAGTTCTGACACACACCCATTCAATCTCGAGTCAAGGGTGTAGGAATGAGGGAAAGGTGGGAAAGGAAAAGGCCCGAGCCAACTCCGCAAACCTCGGTTATCGTCGCCTCGTTGTCAAGTCAACTGCAGATGCCTGTTCGTTCAACATCATCATCACCACCATCACCACCACCCATGACCGCGCCCGGACCTGATCAAGATAACCAGGATTTCTATGATTGATGCGACATGATAGCATAGCCGCCGCCCACTCATAATCCCTGGTGTCTAGGTGCCAAGATGGCTCCTCCAATGACCGTTGTCGCGTCTTTCGACATCTTATACGCTTTTCTCCGAGAATGGCCGATCTGATAGGACGGCTTGCATAGGACGCCTGCACAGATAGGTCCGATTGCTTATGATTTCATCCGTCCATCGGTCGACTAGACAGCCAGTTGTCCAGCGCATGGGAGGTAATGCTTCAGAAAAAATTTGTCCGGGCCAAGGGAGCTGAGCTGTAGACTAGGTAGGGGTGGGGATCGAGACCCTCCGCCAAAGAATGAGGGCCAGAGGGTTTCTCACTCTGGAGCCTGTGATTTCTTGTCGCAAACGCTAAAATGAAGTGTGTTCACTAAGTTTACGGGGCCCTTCGGGTGACATAGAATGATGGCGCTGATGATCAAGAGCTTCTGAAGGTTGGTGAAAGATTGAGTCATCGCCATATGGTCTCACTATCATGTCACTCCTTTGTCTTGGTGGTGGTGGTGAGACGATTTACTAATCTCAAGGCTGAGTAACCAGTGTACAGCCTCCCAAACAGATGATCGATGGGAATAATGAGATGGGTTGACACCTTCCTGAGTCCGATACGAAGTTATCCACCCGCTGTGGTCGTTTTTCGCATCTCCACCGCACACGCACACACTACCTCGCCCCCCTTTAGACCACCATTCCGTCTCACCACCACACCATTATGTGGACTACATCCTGACTTGTTCTATCTCACATCGGGACAGTCTCCCCGGGCCTGAGGTATAGATAGAGAATTTTAAACACACACCAGAACCACCAACGAAGTTGCAGCAGAAAACTTTAATAACCCAAACCGGCCCAGCAACAGTTCAGTGGGCCTGGTGGGTCTCGGGAGTCTCCCGCGTCGTTTTTTTCTCGGTGGGCAAAATCTGCTGTTGCCCTGGAAGTTTCCCTAACTTGACCTAACTTGACGATGGTCTCGCCCCCGTGCCTTTCGAAGAGTTTTCCTTGGGTTTCGATGCTTGGTGTCCAATCTCCACTTGGCAAATTCTTGAATCCAGAGAGTCAACAATAATTGCAGAGTGGGATTTGGGGCTGACCTCAGACCGCCCCCCAGGCATCCACTCATAGTCTCACACCACCACACATCTCGCTCGTCCCCCCCTCCTTGGAAAAAAAAAGCCACACTTCTCGGCGCACTCGCCCTTAATTCTTTTTGGATTTTATTATTCTTTATATTCATCACCCTTCCCTTCCTGCATGGGAACTTCCTGCATCCTTCCGGCATGCTGATCTTGCTGTGTCCATCCAGTCAGATGCGAGATTGCTAGCATGCGGTTCTAAGAAGCACTAGCAAATATCCAGCTGGGCGTCCGCCATACATCAGTCGATCGCTGCACCTCACTGCGCGTCTGCTCTTAGGTCATTTCACGGCCCCTCTCGCTGCTCTTGACCTGTCGATCCCGTCTCATTGCCAATAAAACCCGCCCCCAAACTCGATTCAATCCCGGGTCCGGTCTCTCGCGACTCTCTCTGAAGATAAAAAAGAAAAAAGCAACCCTTCTTGTCCTACACACGTCAGGCCTAGATCCTCTACAGGCACCTGTGCATTCATACCTTCTATCGCACACCGCATCCTTACAGCCTGTCGACAATCAGCCCAGTCAACGAATCCGACCCCTTTCTTGAGGCACTCAAGAACATTTGCAATCATCATTGATTGCTGTTCACCTTCTACCCCTTGGGTCTTCCTTCAACTTCGGATTCTCTTGTTTCTGTCTCTTTAAATCACTATGCACCTCGCTCAATAACCCGGCGTTGCTCTTCGCAACTTTCTCTCGTCTTCCCACTTGACTTTCTTCGCCAGCAAGCAAGCGCGCTCTATTGATTATCTTCCTTACCACTTACCGCTTCTCATCATTATCCCTGATCACCATATCTACTTTCAGTCGGCCCCTCTCACCCGTCACAATGGCGCCCAACCTCTTCATCTGTCTACGCAAGGCATTCTGTCCCGTGTACTGGTTCCAGCGCGGAGAGCGCATCCACGGGTCTATCCACAAGGAGGAACACTGGGAGAGCCCTGTTCCTGGTATCTACAAGTACATCCCTGGTCGGGGATGGCACCTCATCCTCAAGGATGGCAATGAGCACGAGGAGAAGCTGCCAGTGCCCCTTGTCTACTGCCGCATCCTTCACAGATACATTTTCGAACACGAGATGGAGGAGCGCTGTCGCTGGCACTCGGTGACCATCCATGAGGGAGCCAAACCCGAACGACTTCTTTTCTTCCTGTTGGATGACGGCTACACCTGGGTTGCCGGCTGGGACGCCAAGGGAAAGTTCATCCCAGGCCCGTATCAGAAGTGGCACTACGACTCGGAGGCGCAGACCATGCGCCGCGAACTGTTCCCCGAGAGCTCCAATGTTTCCCGTGCCAGCATCGTGCCGAACAAGTTGACCTGATCCTCAACCTCGACTGTTTTATCTTGAATGATCGACCATCGCATCTAAGTCGCGTCTGCAGCTGGTCTCTACAGCGCACGCGTTGGCCGTTCACGACCGATTCAGAACGATTCTTGCTGTTTTGAGCTAGCGTTCTAGCGTTTGCTTCCCTTTCGCTTTCTTGCCTGTGTTTTCTTCTTATTGCTTCACGTGTCACGCATACATCGCTCATGACCTTGCTGGGACGGCTCTACTACTTTGTTTTTTTGGGTAGAGGCTTTCTTCACATAGCGACGAAGGCGTTTTGGGTCAAGGTTATAGACAACCGGATAGATGTTTGATTTTTTTGTTTTCGTTACATCCTGTGCTTGATGATAGGATGCTCGGAATTAGCTTTGTCAAAAGATTCTGCTGCGGGCGGATTGAATATAGAAGATGGACGTGTTTTAAAGAAAAACCTCCCCACGTACGAGAACTTTGTAGTATACTGCACGGAGTAGTATACTGTAGTATCTAGTATACCGGTCTAGATAGGCATCCGCAGTAAAAAAGATTTTGGTTGTTGCAAGCCGAGGTGAGGATCTGCATGACAGCTGCATGAGATATGTCATTCAGGATCATCCTTTGAATGGATCGGCGGTCACAAAAAGCATGTGATAATCTAATTTTACTTGTTATACTTTTTATGAATGATGCCACAACATACATTTTTCCATAACTCTATATCCGGGGTGAATTCCATGCTGCAGTACATCTCCGTGTCCAATTGAGTTCCCACCTCAACCCATGTGCTGTTCCATCTGTGCTATCCATGGCTGAAGTGTCGCCTTACGAAATGGCCCAAGAGCTCTAAAACACATGCAATCCGCGAAACCCCCCCGCTCTATCCCATCTCCAATGATCATACACTGCTAAATCCGAAGGTAGATATTTAAGCACATCGATCGGTTATCTCTGACTCCAGTACGGAGTAAACCTACAACCGCGCCTTCTCAGCCGCCCGCTGCGGCCCCTGACCGCCATCTTCATGACTACCTACATTGTCTGCGACAAGCAACCGCTCCAACCCGCGCCGCACCGTCGGATCCATCCCGCCGGCCGTCGGCCGCATCGTTTCCCGCGCCACGAAGACATGCGTATACCCGCCCACCACCTTCACGGCGTCCTCGCCGCGCCGGAACACCCCGACCTCGTAGGTCACGCTCGAGCGCCCGAGCTTGTTGACGCGCAGGCCCAGCTCGAGCGTGTCCGGGAAGCTGACGCTGGCGAAGTAGTCGCAGTGGGAGGAGATGATGAGGCCGATTTGGGGGGTTGCCGTTGGGCTTGGGGTGGTGGTTTGGGGGGTGGTTTGGGACCCGGGCTGGAGGCTGAGGGTGCGGTCGTTTTCCACAGGGTTGTTGGCGCTGAAGGGGTTCATGCCGCAGTGCGTGATTAGGTAGGTGTTGATGATGGAGTCGAAGAGCTTGGTGTAGACGGTGTTGTTGAGGTGGGCGTACATGTCGTTGTCGTGCCTTGGTGGTTTGGCTTGGTTAGTTTGGGGCTTAGGGGCTGGGGAATGGGGGATGGGGGATGGGGGATGGGGTGTATGTACCATCTTGTTTGGTGGGCTTGGTGGAAGAGGTAGTCGCTGCGCGTGCGGCGCTTTTTGGTTGCGGTGGTTGTGGTGGTTGTGGGTGGCATTGTTGGTGTGATTGGTTTTAGGGGGAAGGGGATTGTTTGGGTGGTCTGCTTGTTGAGAAAGGCCAGGCTCTTCGAGGTGATCAATAAGGAGATAGTCTGCAATTGGGTTGGGAGTAGGCACTACCAAGTAGGTAAGTTGATTGCGAGAATGCGGAGGGCGGATGTACTGTAAATAGGTTTATGATTCCTACCGGGATGTGGGGCAGTGTGATGAGATTCAGGGGACCTCGGCTGGTTATGTCGGTCGCCAACAGTCTAGACAATTTATTCTGCTGCTCGATGATTGAGGTGTATGCTCTAGAGGAAGTCTGATCCGATTGAAGATATCCTTATTGTCGCGATAGGAGAAGAGTGATGTGCTGCAACCCAGATAACATCTCAAAGTGGAAATACCGAGGTATTGTATGAGGACTAACCATAAGTGGCTTAGTTCATGTGATAAGTGGCCGCAGACACCTTGTTTATCAGGTGTCCGATGTGCTACTGAGTAGTAACTATATCCCAGGTCTGTCCTCCTTCCTCAGGTTGTCCACCTACTTGCACTTTCCTCAACTAGTGAACATCAGCATTGGGAATCAAGATGACTCTTCTTGCGTCTTTGGCCCCGATTTCTCACCACAATCATCTACGAGCTGCATGATATTAAGGTTGAATATATCCTTCAGGCCCATGAATATCCCGACTCAGGCTGGTCAATAGCCTATTCACAGTCATTGACTGCTTTCAGTTTCATTCGATAACCAACTATAGCTCTTTCTTGCCACCCTCGACATGAAAGGTTCTAAGCTGAGAGCCTACATGATAGGCCTTCTCTATACCATCCTTGCACACAACTTCGCGGCTGCGCTCGGGTTGGCAAATATCACTGCGGAACTCGGTCCTCGACTCTCTCCAGGTGCACGAATCATCCTCCCAAATAGTCCAGACTTTACAGATGCCACCAGGCGATGGTCCCCTTTTGCTGAGCCCCGTTTCACCGTCGTTGTTGATGTTGCTACGGAGCAGGATGTTGCGGAAACAGTATGCCCCCTTTCGACATATGACATCTGGTCCTGACGATAATTAGGTCGAATACGCCAATGAAGAGGAAGTTCCATTCCTAGCTGTATCTGGCGCCCACGGCACAGTTACCAGCTTGGCAAATTTCCATTACGGCATCGAAGTATGGCTGCATAGACTTAACTGGACCACCCTTTCGGAAGACGGTGATACCGTGACCTTTGGTGGCGGGATCTTGGGTGGCCACCTTGTCGATGCATTGTGGAGAAGTAAGAAATACACTGGTCTGTGTTCCATTTCTCCCTAGCGCAAGCTATGCTGCTGATGGGTATCCATAGTGACCGGCGTGTGTGAATGTATCGGTTACCTTGGCCCGCTCCTTGGTGGAGGTCACGGTGTTTTGCAGGGAAAGTACGGCCTTGCCTCTGACCAGATCATTTCACTACGCTTGGTTACTGCGGACGGACAGTCTCTCGACGTCTCAGAGTCTGAGCCAGATCCTGAACTGTTTTGGGCCTTACAGGGCGCCGGTCATAACTTCGGGATTGTCACTTCGGTCACTGCAAGAATTTACGACGTTCCAGATCAAGGCGTTTGGGCTCGTGAAGGCTACTACTATGGTCGCAATAGCATCGAGAATGCTTTTGAGACATGGAACCAGATTCTTCCGCGTCAGCCTCCTACTGTGACCATTCTCGGCGTTCTTGAACGGAATATCAGCATGATTCCTACGGATGTAAGATGACTATAAAGACTCAAGCATATTATGGTGTGCTAACCAACCCATAGCCACTGCTTAAAATCTCTGTCTTGCAAGAAAATGTCTCTCGTGTTGACTCTGCTTACACCGAAGCCTTTCGTGCTCTGAATCCCATCGCTATCACATCCCAAGTCGGAACCTACAGGGATATACCAGGATGGGAACTTATGGCTTTCAACTCTACCCAGTGCGCCGCAAGAAACATTTCCGCGCCTCATTTTGCGGTCGGGCTCCAAAGATGGAATACTACGGCGCTGCGCATGGTATACGAGGCTTTCTCAGCGGTGACTGCGGGGAACTCGTCGTTCAATGCTTCAGAAGTAATTTTCGAGGGATATCCAGTACAGGCTAAGATAGCCATTCCAGAAGACTCCACAGCCTACCCTTTCAGGGAGGATAATCTATACGCATACCCGCTCATTAGGTACAATGCAAACGCGAGCCTGGATCATACCGCCATTGAGGTCGGCGATGCACTTCGGCGAATTATCTTGGAGGGCAGCGGCCGGGAAGAGCTTCACGTATATGTCAACTTTGCTGCTGGCGATGAGGCACCCGAGCAGATCTATGGCTACGAGGAATGGCGGTTGGATAAGTTGAAGGAGCTGAAGAAGAAGTATGATCCTGAACGGCGATTCAGCTACTTTGCACCCATCCCTATCTGAGTGTTTTGTGAAGGGTTCCTAACATGTACCTGTGTTGGGTATCGTTATCACTAGATATCAATACTGTATTCATAGTCTACCTAGGGTTAAGTATTATCCAAATAAATGCGTTTATGTGATGACGCTCCTCTTGTACGCAGGCCACTGCTCACCGGCAGTAAGATAATCCAGAGCCTGACCGTGATTGATTTCAAGCTTGATGTTTACCAGATCGTCTTGACGGGTGGCTGGTGATTGTGGCACAGGAACCCGCAAGGGAGAGCGGGAGGATATATTGTCGACCCACCGGCCTCTTTGTTGTCGTAGTGGCATCGTCGCACAGCATCTTGAGGTTAATTTGACCCCAGCAAGGAGAGAAGACCGGGGCTGGTCTCTGCACAAAGTCTTTCAGTAAGTATTTTACATGGCTGGTGTTACCCTGGAGATTGCCATATAATCAAGGTTAGACAGAAAAGGACAATGGCGTCACTTAACTTGGAGTTGACCTCCCTGGAATGAACGGCTAGAACAGATTGGACCACCACCGCCGCGTCAGGATAATTTTAACTACTGATCAACTTCCAGATCGCGAGAGCCTCAACCCGACTCGTCGTAGTGTGTGCTGCCGTGGATGCATTCGATCACCCAGGGGCCTGACCGGAGGAAGAAATGGAGCTGACTGGCCAGACTAACCAACGGAGACTAACCACACTAATTCCCCCCCCCTCGATCCACACGTGTTGTTTTAAAGTGTTGATCGCTGGTCATAAAACAATGGAGTAAGCAGACCAGACAGGGAAGAGAGGAGCCCAGGCACAGCATGGAAGAATGACGAAAGTCAATGACACTGTGGTATTCTGAGAGAACAACCCCATTCATGTTCATCGAGGACATTCAAGTCATTCAAGACATTGAGGAGGAGCCTTTGCATACAAGAAACACGACTATTGACACTTAAATATCCACCTGCAGTCAACGGTTCCAGTTCCCTCCTCCCCTCCCCACCGCTTCCCGTAAACCCTTTCATACGGAGTGTATGTACTCCGTGCTGCTACTGTGGTTATTCTTAGTTCTCATCGTTTCTTGCTCCTCCGACCTCTCTTTTCTCTCCCCCTACCGACTGAGTTTACCCAACCAAGTCACTCCTTTGCCCCCTCTTGGTCGGTCTTTCTCCTGCTTGGCGTTTTCTTCTTCTCGCCGTCTTCTTTTCTCTATTTATACTCGTGTTCTGTGATCCCTTTTTTTTTTCCCACCGCTAGGTTTCACGCAGACCCCCAAGCACAAACTTCCGCCTCCTGCGACACGGTCCAGCGTCCTTTCATTTCCGCAACTCAGTTTCCACGATCTGTCCCCTGAAGTTGCGGTTCATATCTCGTTCTTATCGGCCACCCTCTCATGCTTTACGAATATGTCGGCTACGACGACCACCGCTCTGGCGTCTACCATGCGGGTCGGTACCCTGCCCACTATGTTACACGCCGGAATGATGCCAGGCAAGACTTGCCCGACCTGTGGATATGACCGATTCTCCTCGGAAAGCCAACCAATCGATCAAGCACAACATCGCGTGAAAGAGTTAGAAGGGCAACTTGAGTTTCTCAACGTCCAGGCGACACAGATGGGTATGGAAACTTGCATCGCAACTACCCGCAATGGGCTTGTCTCCGCTAACCCAGCCTGCATCTAAATAATAGCCGAGAGAATGGCCGAATATGAAGAAGAAATCCGTCGCCTCCGAGCTCAATCCACCGCACAGAGTTCGCGAAATGGCTCCTCTATATCGTCCACCTCATCGAACCAATTCAACCGAATAACAGACCTGTCGATGTCGCCTCCCTCGTCGCAGACCTCTCCGAAGTCACATGGCCAACATAGCGGGCGCTTATCCACGCTGACCTCCCTGCTGCCCTCCCGCCGACCCGGCGTCCCGAGCGCAATTCAGCCCCAGCCCATGATCTCTCCACCGCCGATCACCAGCTACGAGGAAACGTTGGAATTACAGAACGCGCTCAACCGGGAACAGAGTTTGCGCAAGGCCGCCGAAACACAATTGTCGCTAGCCAGCACTGAGTTGGAGGAATTGACGGCGCAACTATTCAGCCAGGCGAATGAGATGGTCGCGCAGGAGCGCAAGGCAAGAGCGAGACTCGAGGAGCGGGTGGCGGTACTGGAGCGCCGGGATGTCGAGAAGAGGACCCGTCTTGAGCGCTTAGAAAAAGCGATGGAAAGAGTTGAAAGGATCCGAGCTATGGTTGGCTAGCGATTCGAAGGATGCATACGTGAGGATTGTGCACTGTCCGGACTATACCCCCTATCTGTGCCGGTCTTGTTCAGGTTCTCCGCCCATGCTTTCAGATTAATACCCCTAGTCTTATACCTATACCCCTCTTTTGGTATTTCTTTTGGCGCTTGAATACTGGGTCTGCCCCCTTCGAGTTTGACATGCGATACGACCTGATGGGTCAATGGGTCACCCTGCTTATGAGTGACGATTCTGCATCGTGTTCTGGTGACAGGCGTTTTGTTTATACATCGGTATCCTTGCATAAAGCGGTTGCATTATTTTGTTGATTTATGTACTCTATTGGCTTTCTGAGGTTATGCCTCTTCATAATACTCTTTCTTATGACTTTCAAATGGCATCATTCAGTTGAAGGAACCCCGCGGCGGGATGCCAGGAATTAGTCTGGTTGCAGACCCACTTCAGGGTCTCCCCGTGGCTACCTACTGATCTCCATCCTGCGCTGCTATCGTCATTTCTTCCAAGGTCTATATTTTCAGGATTTTGGAAGTCCCCCGTCCAAAATGTCGTCTATTGGAGTTGCTATTATTGGCAGTGGTAGGTGATACGCATTCCGATATACTGCTTTCGCATCGACTGACGGAGTGCACAGGCATCTTTGCCCGGGAAGAGCACTTGGTACGAGATTCAAAATTCCTGCTTCGGGGAAGCGATTTGAGCTCCCAGCTGATGTCGCAACCTGCAGCCCGTAGCCCGCGCCTCGCCCGATTTCGCGCTCAAGGCGATTTATTCCCGGTCCCTCCAGTCCGCACAGAACCTCGCCTCTGGAGTCGAGGGCGTAGATCTATACTCGGAGGATGCCGGCGCCGGCAGAAGCTACGCGGACCTCCTAGCTCGGGAGGACGTGCAAGCTGTCATCATCGCGTGAGTGCTCGATCTAGAAGCATACGGCACCTACTTGCAACGTATCGACAAGCTGATCGAACGCCCGGGCAGGTTGCCGATTCTCGCCCAGCCTGAGTACATCAAGCAGGCTCTTTCCGCCGGGAAACACGTCCTGTCCGAGAAGCCCATTGCCAAGGACCTGGCCACCGCCCAGGAGCTGCTGCAGTGGTACACGGCCAACATTGACACCAGCAAGACCCTCTGGGCCGTCGCGGAGAACTACCGCTACCTGGCCAAGTTTATCCGGACCGCAGAGGAGGTCCGCAGATTGGGCGGCGTGAAGAACTTCCGCGTGAGCGTGCGCAGTCTGATCAAGACCGACTTCAAGTACTACAGTAAGGATCTCTCGGTTTCTACATGAGACCAGAATTATGGGGTAGGCTGACGACGTCACTATCCAGAGACGGACTGGCGGCGGACCCCCGCCCACCAAGGCGGATTCGTCCTGGACGGCGGCATCCACCTCGTCGCGGGCCTGCGGCTGATTCTCGGAGAGCAGGAGGCGCTGGCCTCCGTGTCCGCGCAGTCGAGTCTCCTGCAGGAGTATCTGGCGCCCGTGGACACCGTGGACGCCGTGGTGCGGACGAAGTCCGGCGCATCGGGCGCCATCACCATGTCGTATGGGTCGGCGTTCAACGACTTTGTATTCGAATTCGACTGCGCGCAGGGTGCGGTGACGCTGAATTTCGACCGGGTCACGGTCAAGGGAGAGGGCTTCGAGGTGCCGTTTGAGGGCCGCGGAGTGAACCACGAGGTGGCTGGGTTCGCGGCATCAATTCGGGATGGTGTGGTGCAGGCCTTGTTGCGACCGAAACAGGCGCTGGCGGATTTGGAGGTGATGGAAGGGATTTTCACGAGCAATGGGGCGCGGGTTGAGCTACGACTGCAATAGATTATAAGTTAAGCAACAGTATAGATGCATAGAGTCAGGAAAAGCTTAGTCATGTGCATAACAAGAGCCAGGTTATGGTCGGGTCTAACCCGATTCAGCCGGCGGCGGACAAGGGCACGCGGGGCAAGCCCTAACGCACGGAAGGGGTTAGTCTCGCTTAGCGAAGCCACTAGGGCGAGTCTTGCTCGGGCGGCCAAACCTGAAGCGCGAAATCTCGAGACCGAATTTCGACCCCTACGACAACTCCCAGCGCCAGCCCGCGAGAAGACGACAAGGTATGTGTTGGACGATTGCCCGTGGCCTCACTTCGTACTGACTTGGGATTGTTCAAGATGGTCCTCGCAAAGAAGCACGTCCCCATCGTCAAGAAGCGTACGTTTTGCACCTTGTCCTCATATCCTCACCCACCATGAAAGATATATCATCCTGCCGGGAGTCGGAGCCAGTCGAGATTTTTCGGTCTTCAGTCGATCGGTCCTTGGTAGCCAGCCAGCGGTTATGTCGGTAACACGGGAGAACGACAATCGCTTGAGAAGGAGAACGAGGAGGCTGACGTGGATGCGAACGGGGGTTAATCACGGACGAAGGAGAATTCGATTCTGAACGAGAATGAGTGATTCGGGACAACCTTCGATTCTGTTTTCAAACGCACCGACAAATTGATACGACAATTTCGAGCAATATGCAAAACCAGCACGCACGCAAATCATCACTGGCTTCCGAAGGACTGACCATCCGGAAAACTCGAGCCTGAGCTACCTCCCCGCGGGCGAAGCCACCGAATCTCATCACTCCCGAGGGGGATATTTTTTCGTTGACAATTTCCCGCTTCTACAGGCACCAAGCGTTTCTTCCGCCACCAGTCCGACCGCTTCAAGTGCGTGCCGGAGTCATGGCGCAAGCCCAAGGGTATCGACAACCGCGTCCGTAGACGCTTCAAGGGCAACATCCCCATGCCCTCGGTACGTCGCTTTCCCCGGTCCCTTCGCATCTTCCGGCATCGTCGACTAACAAGGCCCATCAATAGATCGGTTACGGAAGCAACAAGAAGACCAAGCACATGATGCCCTCCGGCCACAAGGCTTTCCTCGTCCACAACCCCAAGGACGTCGAGCTTCTTCTCATGCACAACCGCACCTACGCTGCTGAGTACGTCTCTTGCCTCTCTTCCCTGCCGTCGCGCTGGAATAAAGTCTAACGAAATGCAACAGGATCGCCTCCGCCGTCTCTTCCCGCAAGCGTGTCGACATCATTGCCAAGGCCAAGGCTCTCGGCGTCAAGGTCACCAACCCCAAGGGCCGTGTCACCACTGAGGCTTAAATGGATTTTTTTTTATTTTAAACTCAAAAAAAGAAGAGAACCTATTTATGGAATGATAATGTAAAGACTTTCCCAAACCACTTGCACCTACCTACCCCCTCCCCCGACTACCCTCGCACCTCGAACCCCCGCAATAAAAACCAAACACTTACACAATCCACGAGGAAAAAAGGACCATGAATACCAATACCAATATCATCTCCATGAATTTCCCTTCTTAAAACCAAAAAAAATCCAAACGGACAGAGCAAGCGTTGTCCGGGAGTCGCGGGTATCATCTGGGGACTCTTTCATACGAAGTGATGATATATGCTTCCCTGGACGGGGGAACGGTGGGCTGTGCTTGTCGTTTTTTCTGTCCAGGGAACCTGGACGGTGGTTTGTTTCTGTTCCGAAGTATGGGGGGCTTGGCTTGGCTTGGCTTGGCTTGATGCAGAGCGATTTGAAGATGATAAAGATAGGTCAATGCGATGCGCGTGGCTTGGCTGGTGCTGCTGGTCTGGGAATTTTGTCTTTTTGTAAGCTTGGGTAGTCCACTCCGGGACTTGGGTGTACACGTGTAGGGTCTGTGTAGTGTTTTTTTCTCTGGTGTTACCCTTGTGGCGATGGGGATGTTGTAGGGCCATGTAGTCGGGGTTTAGATGTTCTAGGTCTAGGTGTTGATGCTGGAGTGACTTGACCCAGTGATCTAGGCAATCTAGTTGCTTGACGAGGGAGTAGACGAGAAGAAATAGGCTGGACTTCTATTGTGATATCATCGCGGTTCTATGTACCAACATCAAAAAAAAAAAAGCATCTATGCGGTGGCTTGCGCTTCAGTTCCAGTCTCCGCACTAGCAGCGGCAGCAGCAGCAGCCGCAGCAGCAGCAGCAGCTTCATGCGCCTGCCTCTCCGCCGAGATATCCACCAGCCCGACCCCCTGGACCAGCGCCGGGATCCCTCTCCTGTCCGCCTCAGTATCCTCGCCATCGCCGCCGAGCTCCGGCACCGTGCCATACCCGATCACGATCTCCTCGGCCTCGGGGACATCGACCCAGTTCGGCATCGCGCGGGGGCCGTCCACGCCGGCGGGCGGCAGGCCCCAGCTCGGCATCTGGCTGGTGTACTTCCAGCCGTCGGCGCCCTTGTCGGCGTACGCCGCGGCGTGCAGGAAGATGCCCAGCTCCTCGGGGCTGGGATCCGTGTACAGCTCGGTGTCGCAGACGGGGCAGCGCTCGCCGGACAGCCGCTCGCCCTTGCGCTTGTGGTAGCGCTCGACGGCGGCCTCGTGCTCGCGGGACATGATCTCCTCGACGACCGAGGAGTCGGTGCCGGGCGGCACGAGGGGCGCGGCCGTGAGATGTGTGCGGTAGCTGTTCTCGCTGTCGTTTTTGGGGGATGTAGTGGTAGTGGTGGTGCTTTCCGCGGCGGTCTCGGTCTTGCCCATGTTCGACAAGCGGGCAATCAGCTCCTGGTCGCGCTCGTCGGAGGTCTCGTTCTTCCCGAGGTCCGGACCAAAAACTTTCCGGTTCGAATAGATCGGGTCGTTGGAGATCGGATGTCCCAGGAACTGCAGGTGCACGCGGATCTGATGCGTGCGGCCCGTCAGGGGGAGGCAGTGCACGATGCTGTAGCCTTCCTCCTCGTTGGCGTAGATCGGCGGCGGCGTCGCGACCCTCCCATCCCCCCCCTCACTTTGCCCGCCAACCTCTCCAGCCTCTCCCGCATCAACAGGTGCATGTCCCGCCGCCGAAGGGGGAACATACGCCAACCGCCGAAACTTGGTCTTGGCCTCCTTCCCCGTAGCCCGCACGCGATTCAGCCCGACCTTCGGACTGACCGACATGATCGGCTGATCGCACACGACGACCCCATCAGGGAACCTCCCCTTGACGCGCGCCACGTACTCTTTTTGTAAAGTGCGCGCCTTGAGCTTCTCGCACATCATCTCCGCGGCCTTGGGGTGCTTCCCCAAGAACATGACGCCGGAGGTCAGCCGGTCGAGGCGGTTGCAGGGGCGCGGCACCCAGTCCGGGTGCCGCTGGGACCGCAGGATCTCCAGCACCGAGTTGTAGTGGTAGCGCCCCGCGGAGTGCACGGGCACGCCGGCCGGCTTGTCGATGACGATCAGGTCATCGTCCTCGTGGATGATCCCGATCGCCTTGCCCGTCACGGGCGGCTCGTGCCGGTGCAGCGTGTGCGAGATGATCTCGCCGTTCTTGACGACCGTGTGCGGCGTGCCCGGTTTGCCGTTGACGCAGACGAGGCCGGTTTCGAGGGCTTTTCTCTGTGTGCGCCAAATGGATCAGTTAGGGGGATGAGATAATCAACGGACATGGAGGGAAATGAGGGAAGGCCAGCGTACGTAGTATTCGGCCGGTCGATCACGGAACTCCGACAGGAAGATGTCCAGCAACTCCCGCCCGCGCCAGCGTTCCTTGCAGTAGGTGTTGTAGGTGTAGTGGTAGGGCTTCACGCGGCGCAGTCCGCCTTCGAAATAGTAAGGCGCCGGCCAGGGGTCGCAGGGAGTCACGGCCACTGCCGGCGGTTCCTGGACCGGGTCCGGAGGCGGCACATGCAAGGTCGTGTCGACGGGGACAACGGCCATACTGGACGTCGGGATCAGGCCTCGTCGCAGCAGGTATGCAAAGACGCGGGGTGAGGGAGCCAAGGTCGACGACTGGCGGGAATGACAGAAAGGAGGAAGAAAGGAGGGCGAGTAGTGTGGGGTTTGCGATGCAAGAGATAAGTAGTCTAAGCTTTACGGCGGCGAAAAATGGCAGAGAAAAAAAAAATTAAAGTCCCGCGGGAATTTTTGGTGGTGCGGGGAAGGCAAGCAACTTGATTGATTAAGAATCGGAATTACTACGGAATAGCCAGCTGCACCACTACTGCTATCTCAAGCACTGCCTGCCTCTGGCGACCAACCCGTATGCTTCCCTTGGCTAAGATCTGGCCCAATCCATCAACAACATTAGATGTGAATGTCTCCTCAATTCACCGGCAGATGCTGGAAGAGGGTTGCTTTCCCGTGAAGCGTCGTTGACATCCCCCGGGGGAGTCGAGGGGGCAGGAACCGACTGAGAAGGTGAGGGAGAACTCATTCTTCGGAAGTTGAGCTGGAGTCACTTGTTGTAGAGAATGTCTGTGAAAATGCTTGTTTCTCTTCTCGTGTCTCCCGGAGTTCCTTCCCTCAAATATACTTCTGTACTCCTCTCTCGAGGTTGCGGGGTGTAGGATGACAGCAAGTGGTTGTGAGAGCTGACGGTGGTCAAGGTAAACTGCAACCAAATAGGATCTCATGCGAAGAACCAAGCACCGGAGATGTGAGAAGTAATTCAAAAACTGGGAATGCTCTGCAGAATATGATGACTGGTTGAAGGGAAAGGGATGATCACAGCTTAGAGGAGGAAGGAGCTAATAAGATCATGGATTGATATCATTTACAAGTAACACACAAGTGACAGAATCTACCCTAGCAACTCCACGTATATGTCACTATTTTCTCACTCACTCCTAACACACTCGCAATGTCATCGACAGAGTCCGGAATCGGACGCGGACCAGAACCCCAGAAACCTGATCATCTCCGTAATCCTGACACACAGTCTCATCGATATGTATCATCGAGTCCCATCCCTCAGCTTCTTCTTCCGCATAGCCCTCGCATTACCTTTCGATCCGAGAGCGCAATCACCACTGCAATCCCTCCACTCATCACTCCGAACGTCGACACCATCGTGGCCCATCCAGCCTGATCAACCAGAAGACCCGCCATCAGAGGCCCAAGCACCTGCCCGCCAGACCACGCCACATTGAACAGCCCATATGCTTGCGCAGTGCCTCCCTGGTGGCCGAAAATTCCAGGATATTCCCGCTCATACCGCTCCGTGACTCGTCCCACCTCAACCATCAACGAGACCATCTGTAGAGTTGACGCAGCTCCAGCCAGAAAGAGGAAGACCACTAGCAGAACCTGATGCTGGACCGTATTTTCAGTGACGAATTGAAATAGGAGAAAAGTCGGGCAGTCGAGCAAAAAGCCGAGGAAGGCGATCTGCAAGGCTCCGAGGCGGTCGACGGCGTCGCCTATGAAATCAAGGTCAGTTCAAGCCGGGCTTACGAAGTGGATAGACGTACCGATCCAAGGGGACGCGAAGGACGGTGCGAATAAGGGCAGGAAACACAAGCCTATTCCCATCGGGCCCCAGTCGAATGTCTTCATGACATAAAGTGGAAGGACCTGGATCACGATCAGTTGCTGCAAGAAGATGCATGAGAATCGCAATGACCACGGACCGTGTCGAATGAAGAGTACAAGATGGCGTCGACGACAGTCGCCATCAGCACAACCATCAATTTACCAGAGCATATCAGCCGAACAATGCCCGGTACAGAAGTCTTTTTCCCGCTCGAGTCGGGCTCACTGCCATCCTCGACCGGCGGTTCAACGAGCACATCATCAGGTGGACACAGCGAGCTTGCACTGTCTTGTTCACTGAGAGCGCCGTAGCCAGTGCTCTTCCCCAGCAAACCACTGGATTCTTCTGTCTTTGACGGAAGCCACTTTGCGGCCGTCTTCTGCTCGATCATGACCAGGCGAAGACTGATATCCACCACGATCAAAGCGATTGCCAGCAGGAACACCGAATGGTACCCAACTCGTGAGAGCCTGCATGGGTTCTCGTTAGCGACCATCTTCCTCCAGCCCTGGCAGCATGAATGCGCGAACGTACATGATCCCACCAATGAATGGGCCGAACACCGTCCCAACTGTCAAAGCCATAGAGACATATCCCATGGCCGCCCCGACCTGGTCCTTGCCCACCGTGTCCACAACAAGCGCCATGCCGACAGTCCACACCACAGCTGCCGACAAACCTTGCAGAGCCCGCGCGATTACCAGCGACGACAACGACCTCGCGAACCAGAACACCACGGTCGTCCCGCCGAGGGCGAACAGGCCGATCATGAACGGAAGCTGGCGCGATGAGCTTCTGTCCGCGAAGTACCCGAAGATGGCTTGTGACTGGTCAGGACTTATTCTCCGAGCATATAAACTGGCGTAGGCATGCAAGCTGTCACTCACGAGAACCAAAGAATATACCGCCCCCAAAAGCAGCAAGCATGATCGACATCCATTTCTGTACTGCGAAAGCTTTGCGTCAATAGGTTTGTCAGACAGTACAGCCATGTCAAAGCAAACATACGATCATCATCCGGCACAGAGACGCGCGTTTTCAAGACAATCGGTAATATGGGCACGATCTAGCGAATGTTCGCTCCAGTCAGATATAACTCGTCACCAGCGTTCATCACTGGAGAGCCGCACCATGCCATAGATGAATACGTCCTGCGTGCAGTGAAACGGCAATTAGCATCATGTTCAGGACACAAGTAAAGCGACAACAGCCTTATCTCCCCCACACTCACCGTAAAACAAGCAATAGCCACCACCCAAGTCACAAAGGTCTTGGAAGAGCGAAAGGCCAGCTTCCATGGTGGGCAATCGCGGTCTGTCGCTGTCATGTCGATTGTTCCGCCGACGGGAGGGAGCGATAAGTATGATCGTATGTAGTGGGAAAAGGGTCAACAACACGAAGAAGCACCCGAGTTGCACATTATGGCCCAAGGCCGTCTTAAGGAGTTTAAATAGCTCAGCGACATCGGCCAGGGAACAGACGAGGAGGGGTTTCTTCCAAGGAGCAAAATAAAAGCAAAAGCAAAGCAAAAGGGTGGGCTGAGCTGACAAGTCAGTTAGTTAACTATAGGCGGTTGTGGGGAAAGGAAATGGGGACTGATTTGCCCTTTTCTCCCTCTGCCTCTAAACTCGACTAGGTAAAATTTCGCAGAGCTGCATCGTCAGCGCATGAGGTGTCGGGATTGATTGGCATCGGCTGAGATCCGCAGAGTCTATTGTCCCAGCCTACTGGTGTGTGCAGGAGGTAACTAAAACTGCTAGGTAGTTGATTATCGTCTTCTTCTTATCTCTATCATCGTGACCGCTTGTTGGTGGCCCCTGCCGAGATAGTGTGTGTACACTACGGTATCTGATAACTATCTTCTAAGGTAGCCTATGTCCCGTGATAAATGCACTCGACTAGATCATTCTATAATCGCACTATTGCACTAATCTCACGCAAATGACTTATGTTCAGCTTCGAAGAGGGCAGAAACATACGTGGACAAATTCGCTGACACGAACGCGATGGGACAGGGGCACAGATTGGTGGCCGAGGTGGATAACGATTCTGGTCCAGTGCTCAGGAAATCAATCACCAGTGTGCATGTCAATTAACGGCTCTCCACTGTCATCATCTCTTCGCCATGCTATCAAACTTGTTGGCTCGTATCGTCAAATTAGGGTCATGGATTCATCAGCGAAGCAAAAGAACAGGACTGACTCCACACGCCGTTCCTGGACCCCGAACACACGGTACAGAAAGGGAGAAGCGTAAAATGTTCGTCAATAACGAAAGAGCGATTGATGTTGCAAGAATGAATTAGGAGAGAGAAGCCATGATTCAGAAACAGTTAACGTATACATTCACTTCCTTCACATCAGCCATCATGATCATTGGTGTATAACAGTTCGTCCACGTACATGGGAATAGCTAGCTCAGAGGAAAACCGAAGAAAAACTGGAAAAAGGGGGAAAAGGAAACTTTTCGACATGCTTGACTGAGAGCAATAACTAGATCCTGATCGTGGGCCTAGCCGGAACAGACAATCGGGAAGGGGGTAAAGAAGGGGAGAATGGTCAAAGACGTGAAGACAACGGGTCATCAAAACAAATTAGCCACCGACATAACCAAAATCAATCCGGCCTATTCGAAGAGAGCACACGGACAATTGCTGTTAGGTCCAGGCCACGGCAGGGATCCAGTGCCGCGAGCTGGGACGCTCTGGTGGTAGTAGCGCGATATTTTGGTCAAGTGATGAACAGCTCTGGGGTATCGATGAATCTATGCGAACGTACGGCCACCGCGGCGGTTGTTGCGCTGTCTCCCCGAGCCAACTGTGCTCCAGCCCTCCTCGTCGGCTCCAGCCTGGGCCTCAGCGGGGGCGCTCCGCCAGCTGCCGTTGGTCTTGCTGGCAGCCGCATCGGTAGCAGCCTCAGCACCTTTAGCAGCCGTTTCCTCGCCCTGATCCTGATCAGCCTTCTCGCCACCCTCTTCCTCACCGGCCTGCCGGAGGATATCGAAGTTCTTGCCACCCTGAGGAGCGTCGGTGACGTCTCTGCCGTTGGGGTCAGCCGTGGAGACCGGCTTGTCGGTCTTGCCCTGCTCCTTGGAGGTGCGCTGCTTCTCGCCCTTCTCAGCCTTGGCCTTCTCGTCAGCCTCCTTCTTCTGGCGGATGGCAAGTTGGCGACGCTCCTCAACCTCCTTTTCGCGGGCAGCGGTGTCGATGGGCTTAGCTCCACCGAAGATGCTGGCCTTAGACTCGCCGCCGGCAGCCGGAGACGAGGACTCAGTTACAGTCCGTTTCTGAAGGTTCAACTTGGGGCGGCTAGGAGCGGCGGGAGCGGCGGGAGCGGCAGCAGGCGAAGGGGGGTTGCTAGCCTCCTTGGGCTGGTCGGGGCGCATTTTGGAACGCCACGCGTTGTCGAGGTCGGCAGCGGTGGGCGTGCGTTCTTGACGTTCTTGGAATTCGCGGCGAGGAGGACGAGAGCCATCCTGAGAGCGTCCCTCATGGGAGGGTCCCTCGTGGGAGCGGCCCTCACCCCAGGCGGGGGAGCTGCGTCTGAAACCAGGACCTTCGTTGCTGCGAGGGCGACCTTCTCTCACGGGGGCGGGAGGGGACAGAGGGCCCTTGCGCTCCCAGTTGTTGAAATCGCGGAACTTGCCATCGCTTTCGAAGTTGCTGCGACGGTTGTTACCACCGCGCTCACTGCCTGCATCAGACATGTTATCCATGTTGCGTCCAAAGTTGGAGCGTTCGAAGTTGGAGCGTTCAGGGACGCGGCGCTGGGGAGCATCCGGAAGAGGACCCTTGCGGGTCCAGTCAAATTCCTTGACATCGCGCTCCTTGGCTAAAGCGGTTGTCAGCCAGTTGTAACAGGATCAAAGAGTAGCAAAACCTACGAGGCTCAGCAATGCTGACACGGATGGCTCTTCCCTGAAGAGTAGCGCCAGAAAGGTCGAGAGCCTTCTTCAGACCATCGACGGTCTCAAACTCGACGTATCCGAATCCCTTGGGGGCCTTGGTCAACTTGTCCTCCACAACACGGACGTTGGTCACACCGCATTCGGCAAATAGATCGGAAATATCGGCAGAAGCCGCATCGAAGGACAGATTACCGACGTGGGCGGTATACGGAGGCTGGGTAGGAAGAGGGAGGGGTTCTCTGACGGCGTAACCACCACGCTCGCGTTCTTTCATCAAAGTATGTCAGCCTAGGAAATCCCTCGAACTCGTTTCGTGGCGGAGATGCCATACCACCAAATCCATTACCGAAGCCGGAAGAAGAGGAAAGTCCCATAGGGCGGCGGTCGCCTCCAAAGCTGGTCGAGGAAGGGGCTGGCTGATGATTAGAATGATGCCGAAATGATGAGACTGAGGGCGCGCTCCAAAAACCACGTACCGGCTATCAATCATCGTATGATTAGCCAAGATCGTTAGGACTATTTCCAGGAATAAGAAACACTTACCAGGCAAAGGCATGTCGTCCATCTCATCAGCCCAAGAGCCGAGGGCTAGTCGTCATCAGTCATGTTCATCCCCGCGGGGGTAATGGGAATATCTCGACGGACTTACACTCATCAGCCAAGAAGTTGCCTAGCGACATCTTCTGGGCTTTCTGCTTTCCGGGCGCTGGACAAATGAAGGATCCATCAGTAAACAGGGACTATCTTTGAGGGGTAGAGAGGTGTGGGTTGCGACAGCGCGCAGGGCCACAGAGAGGGGTTGCAAACGAACCCATGATTGCGGTTGTTCAGAATCGGGGAAACGCGCCAAGGGAAGTTCCTGTGCGCGTCTCGGGGTTGAAGTTGAGCGTTAGATGGGGGTAAAGAAGACTTCCGAATTAGAAGTCTTGAGAGAATGCGGAGGATGACGTTCAAAGGACGATGAACGATGGGTGGGTTGGGATGCAAGGAAGCTCCGCAGTTGAAGAACAGAGGGGGAAAGTAGGTTTATCCGTGAGGATAATTTTTAGTGATGACACTAAAAAAGTCAGCCTCCAAAAAGTGTTGGTGCGGCTTTTGGGCCTGCTGGCGCTCGACCCAACCAAGTAAAGTCCCAGTCCAGCTTCCCGAGGGCTTTTTTCCCCTTCCAGTCTTTCCCAACCCACCCCCCTCTTTTGCTTGGGACTCTTTTTGCGGAGAGACTGTGTGAAACTCTCCACTTGAGTTGGTAGTCTTGACTTTCTTTTTTGTTTTTTATTCTTTCTTTTCTTTGAGTCATGTTTTGCCAATTCTTCTTACAGGTTTGAATACTTTAAGTTATCTGCTGTGGAGGTCTTTCATTCGTCACTTCTTACCTCTTCCTCCTCAAGCCTGATCCCGGCCAAGCGCATTTTCACTGCTCATATTAGCCGGCAGATTTGACATGTAGACAATCCAGTAACTTCTGTCGCAGGGATATGAAACATCACCTGTAATATTCCCGAACCATGTCGCCTCGAATTAGTCTTCTTGTTGACACCAGTCTTCCCTGCGGACGTATCCGCAACACTACTGCATGGAGACAGACTTCTATCAGACTATTCAGCTTGCACTGACCAGGAAAATTAGGTAAGGCTTCTCTGCATTCTTGCCATTCTTCATAAGTGTGTGTTACAGCTTCTGGCCCCATTATATCCTCAGCTGGCTGGGCACGAGGAAGCAAGGTTCCATGCCCGCTGTGAAACAAAGAGAAGTAAAATCTCGGGTGACTTGCAGCCACTTGTAGTTGCTGCATACTCTCGCCTGCATCATTACAATTGGACAGAAAAGGGTGAACCATCGCAGGCTTCCTTGTGACCGTCGTGAAAGATCAGCTCGCTTAGGGTATGAGACGGTCAAGTCGGTTCGTATGCTCGAGAAGTAAGCAGCGTCGTTGTGTTCAATCCTTGGCTAGCAGAAGTGCTGCGCAGTGGGTCAGAATTAACGTCAAATGCTTGCTGAGACATTAGAATGTACTGTACAGTACCCGGCATCAATTGAGTAGAGGATGTGGGCTCTCTCTGTACAGTCAGTATCATGAACCGTCTTCCACGTTTCGCCTCACATCCAGGCATGTCATTAGGCATGCCATTATGTTATCAAAATCATATGCCCTCATTTTCGTCAATCGTCCTACATGCGTGAATTGCAAATGTCCCAGACTGTGCTTTTGATGGCCATAGAATATGAAGGGTCTGAGTTGACTGCTCGGCTTGGACGGCCAATCGAACTTTGACTCCGTACAGTATATGCATAGGAAATCGTCGAGAACAGCCGAGAAATTGAGTGCGCACAGTGCTCAAGGAAAGGCGTCTGACTTGATTGAGTGCGTGAAAGCATTGTAGGTTCGCTGGCAAGAGCAATCATGGGCACTCTACGCAGTACGCGACTCGTTTCGTCCGACGGAACAGACTAGCAATAAGGTTTCTGCAACAGTTGCTCGAAGTCAGCCATGGTGTCGATATAAGGATAGAAACTGCAAGATCAAGCGTCCGAGTCCCACAAGCGACGGACAACACGATAAAAAGGTCTTGAAGCATTTTGTGACTCGTATGGAGCAAGATTTCAAGGCTGCGTTGCAATTCGGCTAATTTCAAGAAGAGCAGATATGCTTTAAAGCATTGCCTGCCTCCAACATCCAGATGGTCAGTCAGACTGTTGTCGTGTGCTCCTTTCGCTTACCGCACACGCAATTCAAGCAATAGCACTGGGGCTGGGGTTTGAGTGAGGTCCAAGCCAATTGTGAGCTGAGAAGCGAGAAGGGTGCCTCTTCGGCCGGATGACCATTTAGACCGTAGGGTGCATTCTGGCAGGAATCAGTCAAAAAATGACAATTGCAATAGAAGACAAAGGGAGAAGTGGTCAAGCTCTGTTCTTCAGGTTGATAACTGGACCCGCTTGGATTGCGGGCAGATCGAGACCCGCTGGGGTGACATCATCCTCCGCCCGCAATTACTCGTTCCTATAACTCATGTTGCGCTCTCAGCCTTGCGATAATAGGAATTCGGACCTATGTGCCATTGACCGGGATCTCTACAGACAGAATGAATTCAAGAGGAATTGAATACTGCTGAGTGCCGGTGTGGTCATGAAAGTCCTGCTTGGAGCCATCAGATTCTGGATTATGCGCATAGCTACATGACAAAGCAATCTATGCAGAGCACAGATCACGTGCACCATTATGGTTTTCCCTGGCGATGAGCCGATTACTTGGGAGATCGTCGGCCTTGAGGTGTAACTAACCAACGTACAAAGTAGATCTGGGGTTAATATCTGACTTTGATGTCGACAGCAAGCAGGATGAGTGAACAGAACAAGAGCCAGTCCACGTTTTTCCCGCTCGTCAAGGCAGGAGCTTTGAGCGGTTAGTCCCTTCAAATCCCGGCGAAGCCTCCACGAGTGTACATTTTTCGCATGAATTCCATGATCCAAGTTCCTACACAGCATGGCTATAACTGAAATGGCCCACTGACATGCCACGATAGGCTCTCTCGGACTGGTGTATGGAGGTGTTGCAGGTGTCATCCGGTCTCCTAATCCGGTGATCCATTCTCTATCTTGCGGTGTTCAATGGGCTGCAACCGGGAGCGGCTTTTGGTGTAAGTGTTCCCTCTTGACTCCGTGTTGTGTTGATTTTCGCAGAGATCTGAGTGTACCCCCTGCAGTCTTGAGAGAGAACATCTTAAAATATCGTTTCGAAAACAATGCCGATCCTAAGCAACGCGCTTATGTCAGCGCTCTATCAGGGGGTATCGCTGGAGGCACTGTTACCCGACTACTAGGTACGTCGATTGAATATTCTTTCCTGCGGTCGCTGCTGGGAAAACACTGCCTGCGATACTAATACCTGGCGTCAGGGGGTCGACTAATTCCAGGAGTGGTGTTCTTTTCGGCACTAGGCTATCTGGGCCAAAGCACTTATAATGCGATCGACACATGGCAATTAGAAAAGGCCAACACTCCATCGAAGCCGATCCTTCAGCGGATCGCCGATTCTAAATGGATTCCGCTCAAGTCCCTCTCCGATGATGATTATAGGGGGATTTTGTGCGAGAAGCTCCTGAGCATTGAGGCTGAGATCGCGCTCCTAGATGAAAAGATTGAAGGACTTGAGAAGCTCAAATCTCAAGAGCCAGATCTTTCCTCGTCCGACCCAGCCACCAGGTGACCCAAAAGTCGAGTCCATAAATCCCTACCACGAATGGCCTTGCTGTAATAGAATGTTACGGGTTATTTTCTCCCTGGCCCTTGAAGCGCGTAAGATCTGGCTTGCTGCAACTCTTGACCTAGCCACGCCGATGCGGAGCACTGCGAAGATCATGCGGCTATTCCGGCACTGATGATTGTTCTATAGAAGGCTTTGCTCCCCAAAGGCGAGCCCTAGTGAACTTACTGCCCGCAAAAGCGCAGTAGTTATCACCATGTATAATATGACACTACTTTGTTCCTCCTTGTATACCCCAAAATCAGGATTGTATCACCTAAGTTAAAGCTGTTGAACTGTCGTCGCATGATCTAAGCGTTCTTTCGAGGCCTTGTGCAAATAATTAAAGGCCATGAGACTTGATATAGCGTCAAACGAAATGAGTTTGCCTCCTATCTAGGTTCACCGGCTCAGGAACCGCAACTCTATACTAGTAAGAACTGCAGCGCTTGATGTGGTGTAAGCAAATGGTTGTACTGTAACCTCCATGCAAGCAAAACGCCAGATGACCCGAGTGGCTGTCACAGGGGTCGTAGTCAAAGGGTGTGTGTGTGTGTGTATGTGTGCATGAGACCCGATTGACATGCAGGTTCAATTGACAGGCACCTTTAATTTTACGATTCTAATAAATCTGTAAGATGATCTTCAGACGAACCACCCCTAAAAGACGGGCAAACCCACCCACCTTCAATACTACGTAAGCTATTAACTTACTTCAGGCTTCGTACGAGGGTGTACAACCGTATGTAAACTGCCGAGCGAGCCGGACGGACGACGGACAGTCCGGCCACTGCGCAAAAGTGGATGTGGGAGTAGTGGGAGTGGGCGGCTTTCCGCTTCCAGTTCTGCCCGCGTCGGGTTCGACCTTTCCCGCCGCTGACAGCTGGTTGTATTATCCATCGTCGATTATTCTTCGAGCTTCCTCAACTACGGTTGTTGCATCATCAAGCATCCAACTCTTCCCCTTCGCCTCATATGCTCGGGAAAGAACACACTCAAACAGAAAATAAGCATGACTGACTTACAACTGGCCCGTCCTTGTCGCATCATCTCTCCGGCTGGTCGGCACGTCTCGTATTAACGGAGACCTGTCCTTCGCCGGTTCCGCAGACAGGGAATACATCCCCCCCTCTCTCCTTCGAGAACAGGAGGATTGCGGGCTCGATTCAGGGCTGTGCGTCCGTTCGGATTGTTCACCTATCGTGGCTTTCGATAGCCTCCTTTCGCTCATTACTCTTATACAGATCTCGAACGACCTCCAGCATCTCCATGATTTCTTGGCTGACGATTCCCCGTCCTGTGCAACCGGTCAGTCCCGCTGACCGTGAAAAACGATGACGCTCTTCAGTCCGACCACGATTCTCGTGGGCTTCCTTTTCTTATACCTCCTATCCTTCCTTATCTTCGCCATTGTCCGAATTGCGACCGGAGTCTCCATCCAGCGAATAGGATACCTCTCTCTCCGTCGAATTTCCTATGTCCCGAAAGATGGCGTGCAGATCGAACTCCGTGGCCTAGGGCTGTCCTTACATCCACCGTCATTCGCGCAACCTACATGGCTCAGTCTCAAGCTAACAGAGCTCAAAGTGACGCTGGATCCGTCAGCTTTGGGCAAAGCTCGCAAACCAGTGAACAGACCCGATGTCTTGCAGCCGCAGAGTCCTTCGGAGGACGATGATTCGAACAAGGAAAGCACGGAAACGGCCGGGCACAACGCTAAGCAGCGGAGTAAGACGTGGAAGAGCTTGATGCGCATCAAGGAGCAAGTGAAACAATTACATCGGAAAATTCATTGGTTGAAGTTGGTGGATGTCGTGGCCGTCAATACTACCATCAACATTGTCGAAGCTGGTCAGATACAAGTGGGATCACTGTCCCTGGGAGTTGATACTAGGCGCAAAATAGTCGATCGAGGCACATTGTATCGGTCTGGGAAAACCGATGCTAGCGAACAGAAGCCCGCGGAATGGATCATGAACGTTCAGAATGTGCTCCTAGCCGTTGATGGAGGCGAATCGACCGAAGTGCTGGACAATATTCGCGTGCATATACATGGTCTTCTCCACAAAGAACTGGATGGCCTCAGGGATGCTTCGATCGCTCTCAAGGTTGGAAGGATGCATATTCCATATGACGACTTGATGACATTCATGCAGCGCGTGAAAAACTCCAAGCAGTCGCCGAAAGAGCCTGTCGATAGCAACAACACCGACGACGAGATGTCGTTTGCTGATTTCGTCGAAGAACTTGATCAACCCGGGAGTAGGGATGACTCAATTGTACAGACCGTCGCGGATTCGAAAGAGTTTGCCGGTTCTATACTACGCGGCATACAAGGGATCCAGGTGGCGCTGAGCTTTTTCCGCCTGTCTCGGGCTTTTCAACCATCGTCTGAAAAGCAAAGTCCAATATTTCTCAGTATCGTATCTCACGAGATAGGCATCGACTTACACCGCATGGATCAGAAGAGCCCTGCCCATCGGATGTATTTCCAGCGCAAGGACGTCGCACATCAGGCTCTTCTTGCCGCCATTTCTCTTTCGGTCAGCTTGGACGATGGCTCGGGTGAAAGCGACAACATACTCTATATTCCGATGGCCACAACGACGATAAAGACCACCCTGCCTTCCAAAACCATCAGCTCGTTTGACGACTACAACCCGGAGGAGCGCAACACTAATATTCTGTTTGCCAATTTGGTGGTTACCTCACCTTCCCTCGATCTTGAGCCAAGGCAGGTTTCTAGACTCCTCGGATTGTCGCAGTCCTGCAGGCCATCACCCAGGGGCAAAAAAAGAGACAACAATCGCTTGATATCGCGATTACTTCCCAAAGCAAGCATCAAAGTGTCCATTCACGAGCCGGTGGTTAGATTTGTTCTGCCGATTACCAACCCAGATCGGACCTCCAGCGATGACTACAATCTTCTCATATCCTCAATATCTGCTATTTCGCTTGATATTGAGTCTTCGCACTCTTCGGAAGGTGGAGTGCATTACTCATTGTCCTCAATCTATCGAGTGGCTTCGCACAAATTATATTATCAGACACCATCTGGTATTAAACATAATCTCCTCACAACTGAGTCACTGGAGTTTAAGGTCCTATTGAGTGCTTCTCCGGAGGTACGCGTGATGGCATCGGGTAATTTAAATACCGCCTCCGCACACATGGTTAATGATGAAGTGAATCGCGGAATATACGAAGTCATTGAGCAATTCCGCGCTCATACGAAGCATAAGAGAACGGTATCTATGTCCGTCGAAGAGCGGAAGCCTAGTGTTCTGAGGCGTGTTCCCCCATGGCTCCTCAGGTTCCAGTTCGAGGCCACTGGCCTTAGCTTGGAGATTGCCGGTATTGATGCCAGTGTCTCATCGTTATCTCGTGGTGTCTCATTCCAGCTGCAATCATGGACCGCAGACTATAAGGCCCAGAAGTCTGAGCCGATTGCTGTCAGCTTCTCAAGGCGGCGTACGCCTAGTCATTCAACGATAGGTGATGAGTCGTCCTTCAAGTTTCCTACCTCACCACCAAGGCAGAAGCTAGGCGTCGCTGCCGATGGTCGTCGACTTGCCATTCATGTCCGTGGCTTTGAGGGATTCGTGATTGAATCTGAAGATTTTCTGGAGGCCGAACCCTTCTTCTCCCTTCCGCGGTTCGAGGTTGCTTTGAGCACTATGAGCGATCGCCTCGGACCGATTTTTAACATTAATTCTGTCTTCAAAGGGGTTTACCTTCAGTATTCGCTCTACCGATATTACTGTCTTGGGGTTGCTGTTTCTGTGCTTAAGAATGCTTTCATGCGTAGGCCATCCGGAAATCAAGACCAAGAAGCATTTCAAGGTCTGAACAGCTTCTCTTCTCCTCCGTCGTCACGGGCTTCTTCAAGAGGCGAGCTTGTCACCGTCGATGTGAGGGCGACAGTCATTCAAGTCAAGACTTTCCTCCCTGCGGATCCCCCAATGTTGTTGCAAATCTACGGGCTCACAGGGGGGTCTCATCGCCTCTCTACTCCTTTTGTTCGAGCTCATTTGGTACGACTGCATGCTGAAGCTCCCAAACTCAAAGGGATCTGGGCTAGAATCATAAGCATGAACAATGTCAGGCTTGACCTGCGCAAGATGAAAATAAAGCAGGGTACAAGCATGGTTGAACAGAAATCAATCGATGTTTGGGCAGATTTTATCCGACTTGGGGTTCCGCATCATATGGTCATGCATCGCATCTTTGACAACTTCATCAATACGTCTAAAGCACTCAAGCAACTCCATCAACGATTCAAGGGCCATTCGGCTGAATTTGGAGCAGCAAGAGACCCGGAAGACCCGAAGAAGGTGCCTAGGATCTCCTTGCGCAGCAAAGCATTACTCTTTGAAATGGAAGATGATGCTTTCGAGTGGAAGCTTGGGTGCATTTACCGCACTGGTTTACTGGAGCAGCGTCAGCGCCTGGCGAGGGAAGAGGCGTTTGAATTAAAATTGCAGAAGATAAAGGAGACAGATCAGCGACGCACTTCATCTAGACTCCGTACCAGGTCAAGCCACCGAACTCTTCGCAGTGAACGCCAAAGTGAGGAGAGAAGGAGAAGTAGGAGTGCGGATGCAAAGCCGCGGAAGAGCTTGAATGATGACAAACGTGGACGAGACAAGAAGTTCCGTTATGACACGGAAGGTGCTGCTTGTCTATCGTGCGAATCCAAAATCTCTACCGAGAACGCGTGGTACCGGCTTCAGGAGCACAACGCCCGATCCTGGAAATCAAAGATTGACTCCGCGCTACGGTTCCAGGGTACATCGATCAGGGAGGTGAGAAACATTTTCTCGGGCGCGGACGAACCGCCAGAAGACGTACAAGAGACAGAAACTGTCCTGTCAATCCCAAATCGACCTGCTATTTTGTCCGCTTTGATAAGTGACATCAATCTTGTGATTGACAAGCCGTCTTTCCCCCTGGAAGATTATCCCAAGTTCCTGAATAGCATTGGTAAAGGCATGCCGATTTCAATGAAGTATGCTTTGCTTGTTCCCATGAGTATTCAGCTGGACATGGGAGAAGCTCGGGTTAACCTCAGAGATTATCCGCTGGACCTCTTGCACATTCCGGCACTTCGACCTGGGCAATCTCCAAGATT